ACCCCCCCCCCCCCCCAAAAAAAAAAAAAAAAACACAAAAAAACACAAAAAAACGAGTGACTGACAATCACAATAAAAAAGATAATCGAAGACGAAGCGATAATGATTAATCAACAGGGCATTTTGGCCCCAGTCTTAATTGGGCAAAATGGTCTATGCAATTGGATGGATAATCATTGATTAAAGCCCCACTGTCCTACTTGTAATGTTGTAGCTACTTGCTCCAGGCGCGGATACACGGGGGGGGGGGGGGGGGCCGACGGGTCCGCCCCCTGTTTTTTGTTTTGTTTTTGTTTTTGGGGGGGGTCAAATACCAAAAAAAATTATGCATATTACCCCTCCTCCCCACTGAGCGAGATATTGGTCGGCACGATTTTCACATTTTCGAGGTCAAATACGAGAACAAAATTATGATCACTACCGCCCCCCCCCCCCCCCCCCTGAGCGAGATTTTGGTCGGCGCGATTTTCACATTTTAGGCCCCCCTACCGGCAAATCCTTGATCCGCCCCTGACTTGCTCCCTCTACAGGTGCTTACGCAGGGGGGAGGGGGGGGGGGGGGGGTTTGGGGGGTTAACCCCCCCCCCTTGAGTTTTTGTTATGTGTGTATTATATGTGTATTTTTTTACCAACCCCCCCCCCCCCCCCCTTGAACAAATCCTGCGTACGCCACTGTTCCTCTATATAGAAAACTTCCCCAATCGGTGCCTTTTGGTCCCCCACCCTTTTTTTCTTATGTTAGTTGAGAGCTGAGTTAAAGAGATAGCCACCTGTCAGTGACCTCGTTATCGCTGTGTGGTCTAATCCCTTCAGGCCCAGTATTGACGGTCTTTAAATGAAATACATACGCAGCTGTTATTACTTGCGAGCCTAAGCCCTCTGTTGTCCTTTGAGGGTCAGTTCGTAGATGATGTGATGTCTGTTTGAGTTTGTCCTTTCTCGTTTTCGTGCCTGATGTCTATTTGCTTACCGTAAACCAAAACGCCCTCTGTTGTCCTTTGAGGGTCAGTTCGTAGATGATGTGATGTCTGTTTGAGTTTGTCCTTTCTCGTTTTCGTGCCTGATGTCTATTTGCTTACCGTAAACCAAAACGCCCTCTGTTGTCCTTTGAAGGTCAGTTCGTAGATGATGTGATGTCTGTTTGAGTTTGTCCTTTCTCGTTTTCGTGCCTGATGTCTATTTGCTTACCGTAAACCAAAACGCCCTCTGTTGTCCTTTGAGGGTCAGTCCGTAAATGATGTGATGTCTGTTTGAGTTTGTCCTTTCTCGTTTTCGTGCCTGATGTCTATTTGCTTACCGTAAACCAAAACGCCCTCTGTTGTCCTTTGAGGGTCAGTTCGTACGATGATGTGATGTCTGTTTGAGTTTGTCCTTTCTCGTTTTCGTGCCTGATGTCTATTTGCTTACCGTAAACCAAAACGCCCTCTGTTTCTTCTGACCTGTACTTTGTCTATTTTGCTCTGACCTTTGATTTATTCTTTGTTAATTGGTCCTTTCTTCTGGGTACTTTGTCTATTTTGCTCTGTCCTTTGTTTGTTTGTATGCTTCTTTGTTTGTTTGTATGCATCTTTGTTTGTTTTTGTGACTGTTGATATTGGCCCGTTTGGCCGCCCATAGGATTGGGAATAAAGAGTGTGGCGTTACAATTATGATTTACTACCAAGTGCGTACACGACAACTTTGACACGCAACGCAGACTGAAGATAGTCTGCAGGCACAGACCCTAATTTGACACTTAATCAAAAAACCATTGTGCCTTGAGAGAAGTCTAGCCCAGCTACCTACTGGTTGTGTCAGGAGCAGCTACAGTACATGGCCTATGGTAGTCTTATAGTGCAGACTCACTTTTACGACTGACCAGGGTCTGTGCTTGCAGACTAGACTGAAGATGTGATTTGGGAGTCTTGTATCACGATAAATTTCACAGGTCTATGGTGGCTCCTAAGGGACACGCAAACGCAAAATTTTGACGCATACCTATTCAACAAATTTGTGGATTTTCACGTCAAAGACGTGAAAATCCACAAATTTGACGTATACCGATGCAACAAATTTGTGGATTTTTACGTCAAAGACGTGAAAATCCACAAATTTGACGTATACCTATGCAACAAATTTGTGGATTTTCACGTGGAAGACGTGAAAATCCACAAAATTGACGTATACCTATGCAAGGGTTTTATTGTCTTTTTACGTCCAAGACGTGAAGAAGAAGAAAATCTGCGTCCAATTTCACGTCTGCGTGTCCCTTTTGGGAGACGCAGACATGAATATCGGACGCAGATTTTCATGTCTGCGTGTCCCTTCAGGGCAATTGAGTACAGAAAAACGAAAAATTACCAAGCAAAGGTATACGTCAAATTTGTGGATGTTCACGTCTTTGACGTGAACATCCACAAATTTGTTGTATAGGTATACGTCAAATTTGTGGATTTTCACGTCTTTGACGTAAAAATCCACAAATTTGTTGCATCGGTATACGTCAAATTTGTGGATTTTCACGTCAAAGACGTGAAAATCCACAAATTTGTTGCATAGGTATACGTCAAATTTTGCGTTTGCGTGTCCCTTAGGAGCCACCATACAGGTCTCAAATTCTATACCTGCAACGATTTCGATTTTGTGCTAGTGTTGGCATTGGCAGAGAGCTTGCATTTTGTCTAGAGAGATCTCTACCAGGGGCGGATCTAGGGGGGGGGGGTTCGGCGGTTTACCCCCCCCCCCCCCCCCCTTCCTTGGGCGGCCAAGTGAAGAAGAAAAAAAAGGGAAAAAGAAAGAAAAAAAGAAACAGTAAATCGGCACGATTTTTGGAAATCCTGGATCCGCCACTGGTTCAACCCCCCCCCCCCCCCCCCCCCCATGGCAAAAAGCTAGATCCGTCCCTGTCTACGCCAGACTCTTCTGTAGTACACTGGCGTGCGTGGATCGTTTTTGTATGTGTGCAGAATAAGACAAATAGTGCATATAAGGCGCCCCGCGATAGGACTCTGATAACTTTGACGAATGCACCATGAGATTAACTTGTTTGGTGTCACTTAATTTGTCATTAAAAATTGTATGTCATTCTTATATTTGTAAACACATGCGCTTTTAAATAATTAATGCAAAATCAGTTTAACTAATGAAAGGCACCTGTCTAAAAGCTGTAAGTACAAGTCTATGCGTTTTAGAAAACCAAACAAGCCACTATCATGGAGATACTATCTGCGCATGGGCAATATAATTGAAGGTCATATTTTGTACAAAACTGTACAACCCATCTATCTGCTGACTGCTGGATATGACTGTGTTCATGAAAGTTATGTAATCATTATTCATTTATGCAAAAGCAGTACATTTTATGATATAATACCCTTTGTTTGCCCTCTTCTACTCTGAGTAGAAGAGGGCAAACAAAGGGTATTCATGAACAACCTACATCGCATTGAAAGTGATTCTTCTAAAATTCACAAAGTGTGACATGGGGGTCATTAATTTTCTATAAAGCGCTATTTCCGAAGGGGCTTATTATCACACGTACGCATGAAACATAACTATGTTTCACGTTTGCACTGGTAGTTTCAGTTTTCAGTTTCAATTTCAGGATCCTTAATGATGAAACCGCATATCAACTACCCAGAATTCAATTTTTTACAATGGACCAATTATTTGGAATAACCTCCCAACTCATCTAAAAAATAGTAAGACCGTAAAACAGTTCAAACGATTAGTTAAACAACACCTACTGAACTAAATAAATGATAATATTTTGTTGTTTCCTATCTTTTCTTCCTTATCTTTTTTAGAAATTTAAATGTTGATGTTTTTCGTTATGTTTTTGTTAAGTTTTTCCTGTAATAATTTGTTGATATTTGTCTTAAAATGTATAATATGTTATGTATATTCTTGTTATTTGTTAAGGGGTCATTTTTAACACGCCAATTTAGTGCTTTTTATAACCCCGCCACTATAATTCATATGTATATACACCGTTGGTCATAATGGTGGAATAACTATTTTTATCCCAATTTATGGAATGATTTATTCCTAATAGATCTAGATAATAGTATACATTCTTAGATTGTATTGAATAATAATTTGTGAGTGTTTGTTTCGCGTGACTGCTAGAGCATGTGTATGCTTCTATGCTAATAACTAGGGGACCTACGTCCTTAAGTCATAACTGACAGTAATAAGGATTAATGCCTCATAAAAGGGCACTAATATAGCACATCGACACGGTCTTGATCCTGGGGGCTCACAGTAACGAGGCCATTGCTTAGCCACTGAATCATGACTGTACGCAGCGAGGGCTAGGGTACGTCGCCGCCCCCACAAATACAAACAAAAATGAAGAAAATGCAATAAATTATCAATAATTCATAGCATTTTGCCCCGACCCCTTACATAAAACAAATCCTCTATGGGGGCATGCCTTGAACCATAATGCATGGCCCTACAGAGGAATTTTGCCTGTTGGGGACCCCTCCTTCTTCCTTTATATACCCCCTTCTCCCTTTTTCCTCCACCTCTCTCTCAATCTCTCTCTCTCTCTCAATCTCCTTTCTCTCCCCTCTCTTTCTCTCTCTTTTCCTTCTTTCCCTCTGTCTCCCACCCTTTTCTCTCTCTCTCCACTTCCTTTTTTGTTGGGCTGAGTGAAGGGGACACGCAACTCCACCCTTTCCCATTTGGCTGCGTCATTGTCTTCTTCATGTCTTGTTTACGTCAATGCTACGTTTTATTTACGTCTACGTCTTTTACGTCTTTTAACGGATATCCTTTTGCTGAACGAAATTAATGTTCCACCCTACAACAAAATAAATTTCAACCTACCACAGGCCCAAAAATGTAATAGTGTTAAAAATAACATCAATCTTCAAAATATTCTACCAGCAAGTAATATGATGATCCCTTATTCCGCAAAGGTTCGGCTAACAGGCTAATGTTACTGTTGAACATTTTGAGTGGCAATGGCACAGTTTAATGGTAGGAAGTTCAGTATATATACCCATCGATACTTATTTTTCGTTCTTTCACTTCTTATATGTCACGTACTGTGTTTATGCGAGTGGATAAGAAAAATACGGGAAGAAACATGCATCATTTTGTACATGGATTCTCGGTACTGGTTATTGTTTGGATATTTACAAGAACAACATTCTGCCAAGTAACAAGTATGTCAATAGATCTTTCTTTTCTTTTTCATTTGTATTAATTTTGAGTTGTAACATTATTCACATTTTTTGTTTATCGTTTATTAATAATATTCAAGAGAGATCTCACGTTTTTTAATTTTTTTTAAAAATACATTCACATTCGAAATATGGGTCATAACAATCGACCTGCAGCCTAGGAGACCGTGGAAACAAATTCCTATTGAAAAGGAAAGATATAAGCAGACTGGTAATTTCTATCTGTCCTAAGCAGATTTAAGGGGCACCGCCTCAACCCCTTTCTCCCAACCGGTCATTACATTGGGTATTTTCGAGCCTTTTCCATTTCTTATGAGTGTAGGGGTTTAGGTTAATTTCTGTGATCATTTTAAATTAATTCCAAATCACGTCAATAATGTTTGTATAGTTTTGGTAAATAACTATGCATATATCAATCCATGTATAACGATAGATTCAAAACCATAGAATAAAAGGCTTCGTTTGCACTAGATTTGAGTCTATTTTTAGCAGAGATGTCGTGGTCTTGAGGAGACATCACTAGAATGTGAATCACATGGTTCTCGGTTCGAGTCCCGCCGCGGCACTCATCTACATTTGTCACACTCCACCCGAGTGTAGTAAAGAGATACCTGGAAGGAATTTATATCTTGATTGCTTTTTGCGCCTTAGGACAGCCAGGCAAAAGCCGCGGTAGTAATACTACTTTGTAGGCGCCTTGTAGCCATCGCATAACGTTAATATTTTCTCTTTCTTCATCCCAAAGATGTTACTAGGCTGGTGAATGGACTAACCTTAGTAGAAGGCAGAGTTGAGGTTCTAATTGATGGAACTTGGGGGACAGTCTGTGACAAGAACTGGGACTACAACGATGCCCTTGTGGTCTGCCGAAGTCTGGGCTTCACCGGCGCTCTTGGTACCACCTCCCTTGCAGAATTTGGACTTAGTTACGGTGTGATGCCCTCGTATGATTTCCAGTGCAATGGGACAGAATCTGACATTCTGGAGTGTTTGAGGGACGAGCCACAGTGTAGCAGTCCCTTTCGCGAGGCTGGCGTAAGATGCTCAGGTATGATGATAATAATAGTAATAATAATCATAATAATTGTAACTACTATTATGATAATAATCAGTACAGTTCTGAAAAAATATAAACTTTATATATCAAGAATGAATCATATAGTCGAAATCTTTTCATGAAAAAGAGGTGAAGAGAAATTCGTCCAACCTCGTGGGCAACATTATACTAATAGAAGTAGGAGGAGTAGTAGCAGTAGGAATAGTAGTAGTAGCAGTAGTAGTGGTATTAGTGGTAGTAGTAGTAATAATAGTTTTAACAGTAGTAGTAGTAGTAGTAGTAGTAGTAGTAGTAGTAGTAGTAGTAGTAGTAGTAGTACTGGTAGTAGTAGTAGTAGTAGTAGCAGTAGTAGTGGTAGTAGTAGTGGTAGTAGTGGTACACTCTAAAAACTAAAATGTTAAATCTCACTTTAAAAGGGCCGAGGAGTGACCACTCTTTCAAAATGTCAGATTGTAACTTTTAACATGCTAGATCCAACCTTTATAGTGGTGGATCCAGAATGTTATTCTACCATTTTGAAAGAGTGGTCACTCCTCGGCCCTTTTAAATGGTGATTTAACATTTCAGTTTTTAGAGTGTAGTAGTAGTAGTAATAATAGTTTTAACAGTAGTAGTAGTAGTAGTAGTAGTAGTAGTAGTAATATTAGTACTGGTAGTAATAGTAGTAGTAGTAGTAGTTGTAGTGGTAGTAGTAGTAGTAGTAGTAGTAGTAGAACCCGTATTAATAGCAGTAATAGTAGTAGTAGAAGTAGTACCCGTATTAATAGCAGTAGTAGGAGTAGTAGTAGTAGTAGTAGTAGTAGTAGTAGTAGTAGTACACAGTAATATTATTATTATTATTATTATTAGTAGTAGTAGTAGTAGTAGTAGTAGTAGTAGTAGTAGTATTGTTTTTCTTTTGATTCTGAACATTTCTTAAAATCATTTAAATTGTTCTTTTTTCCCAGATTGTCAAGATGTTAATCCAAAGTGTCCATCGTGGGCTAGTAATGGAGCCTGTGAATCATATCCTGGAGAAGTAATTCCTGTTTGCCAGTACAGCTGCGACCAGTGTAATACAATCGCCATCAATGGTAGGTGGATTATAGCGTAAATTCTATTGGGAAGACTGAATAATGATACAGTTATGCGATGTAACTCCGATAGTAATATGGTGTTGTGGCCGAGTGGATACGTCACCGGACTGTGGACCGCGTTCGAGTCCCGGCGTGGCACTAATGTCCCCATTATCAAAGTGCATCACTCCACCCAGGTGGCAGGAATTAATTCGAACACTGTAATGGCAGCCGTGCTAAAGCCGGGGTAGTAATAATGTAGCGCCAGGAGTGGCATTGTGCCAGATATACTACTACTACTTCTACTACTACTACTACTACCACCACCACCACCACCACCACCACTACTGCTGCTGCTACTACTACCACTGTTACTACTACATTAACCACCACTAACACTTATACTACTAGTATAACCACTATTACTTCTTCTACGATTACTATTTCTACCACTACAATATATAATAATAATAGTAGGAAGAAGAAATAGAAGAAGAAGGAGATGATTTATTCGATTTATGGCAAGTTTCGCTGAAATCTTTAGACTGTGAATCGCCGCCGAGATGTCGAATTTTACAAGGAATTGTACATTCCAATCGGATATATTAATAACTCGGTGTTATCAAGAAATTCTCTTATCTAATATCTTTATTTGAACAGATTCAGTCTCATCCCTGCCGCAGAATGAAACGTGTATAACTGGACATTGCTATCTCGATTCGAACAACGGTAAGAAGTACATTGATTAATAGGCCTACTAAACGCAGACAAGTTAAAATTTCAAACTTGGATTGAGCCTCTATTTAAATGTATCTTTTTTGTTCAACTTTAGATATTAGATATAGTCCCTTTTTTGTTTTAGTAAGAAGGGCTTTAACTCTGTGAAAAAGAGAACGCCCCTCTGGCTCCAAACAGTCGATATTCACTTCGCTCTTGTACGAAATGTAATCATACGAAATTAATCATTTTAAATTTGATCTCGTTTTCGAAAAGAAGCGTAATCCACAAAAAAGCAGAAAAGGGGAAAAAAGAAAACTGAGACTTGGGTGTGCCATTGGCTTCCTCAGTTAAAGATTGTTCATGTCTTTGTTCAGACTAAAAAATATTCATACGAAACTCTTCTAAAGAAACGTCGTATTATAAATGTCGTAAAGCCAAAGGAGGTACTTACTATCCCAGCGTTTTTTTCAAATTTTATAGACACGGCATCCTAAGAAGAAGAAAATAAAATTCCCCGTCACCGAATTTACTTATTCAGCCATAGACGAAACACTTCATGCAGGGCCGATTGTTAACGAAACGGAGTTAAATCTTTTGCAATTATGTTTGTTGCTACGGCAGGCAGCCAGTGAAAACGAATTTGTTTAATAAAATTATGGAAATTCAAGCATTACTTTAAACAAACAGAACTTTGATATTCCTAGATCATTTTTCCTGATTGAGGTGTCATATGAAAGGGCAAAAAATGAACTTTCTAGATATGTGATTTTCTCTTTGAAATTTAGATACCGTCCGCCAAATTACTTTTTGGTACCCTCTCTTCAGTTAAATTGATTTTAATCACTCGACATGCGTGGAATATGCATCATAATGAGTTACATCAAATGAAAGAGGAGGATCTAAGCTTTACAAATATTTATCATTTATTAACTACATGTATTATTGTGATTAAGTTATGATAAAACAGCGATATCTCTCGGTTTCGTTTTTTCTGGGACGCACTGTACCATTATTTCTAAAGTTAGTAGGTCTTTGTGAAAACCGAATTTTTAAAATCAAATCGCATACAGGTAGCCACTGCAAACCAGTTGTGGATATATGTGTGGCGGCTGGGTGGTACCAAGGTGAGCAAAAATTCCAATATATACATTTTCGAATAGTTTCGATTGGCTTTTTCTCATGTTCTTAAATTTGATTAATACTATACATGTGTTTATGATATTTTATCAACTAAATTATTCATAACGTTACCAAGATTTGTAATTTGTTTAAGTATATAAAAACAGATTTGTCCCGATTTATGATAATAATAATAATATTCCGCACTTATATAGCCCTTAATACATCGACGATGTCTCTAAGTGCTTTTCAGATAAATGTTTACCCCGGTCATCGAATTTAAGCTCGCCCGCACACAGTGTGTGCATATTCTCCACTCCCTGGTGAGTACTCCAGTCAGGCGTCATTTTACAGACGCTCACAGTGTTGAGCATGCTACATTAACGTTCGCATCCTGCCGGGTACCCATTTAGCACCTGGGTGGAGAGTGGCAAATGTAGATTAACGTCCTTGCAAAAGGACGTTAGTGTCGGGCTGGAATTTGAACGACTTATCCACTAGACCAAAACACCTCTACGTTTATTGAGAAAGTTTACATATTACAGCTTACAAATATCTTCAGCAAAGACACTAATTCAACCAGACCACCTTTTATTCTTGAGTTACGAAAAACACAAAAAACATCTAATTTACATGAATATGAATATTTCAGTTGTTAATTGTATATATGTATATGTGTGTGTGCGCGGGTGTGTATGTGCGTATGTGTGTTTGTTCATGTAACTTTAATTCATTATTATTCCATTTTCAAAGGTATGGTATGTATAGCTACACCGATTCGACCCATCCCTTCATCAATACGATGCATGTAAGTTCACTTTACTAGTAAACATTCTTGACTATATACAACAAAGATCTTCTCAGTCAGTAGAGCGTCCGCCTCACAACCGGGAGGTCGTGGGTTCGAACCCCGGCCGCGTCATACCAAAAGACGTTGAAAGTTTGGAGTTGTTGCTACCTTGTTTGGCGTTCAACAATAAGGGATAGAGCAACGTCGATCTGGCGCTGCTCAGTGGCTGCCGGGCTCACAATCAATTGGGCAAAAAGAATTTCCGTTTCGGTTTAATAAAATTTGGAGTGGACTATTAGGCTATTATTATTATTATTATTATTAAAATAGTACCGCATTTCAATCCTGAACCATCACTAGAATTTTCAAAACAAACTGGATGCCTTACCAAAGGGTACTAAGAAATTTATGAGCATCTTCGAACCCATTTACGAGACCACTGCTTTGTTGCTGTCTCACTCGGTCCAATACAGCCAATCACATCCCATCATTTCACATCGTTATCACGCCCCATCACGTTCCATCACTCCCCATCATTTTCTTTCACGTTCCATCACATCACATCACTTCATGCCACGTCCAATCAAATGTTACCAAGACCGTTCACGTACCATCACTCCCCATCATTTCCTTTCACGTTCCATGACGTCACATCATGTCATGCCACGTCCAATCAAATGTTACCAAAACCGTTCACGTTCCATCACTCCCCATCTATTCCTTTCACGTTCCATGACGTCACATCACGTCATGCCAAGTCAAATCAAATGTTACCAAGACCGTTCACGTTCCATCACTCCCCATCATTTTCTTTCACGTTCCATCACATCACATGACGTCATGCCACGTCCAATCAAATGTTACCAAGACCGTTCACGTACCATCACTCCCCATCATTTCCTTTCACGTTCCATATGACGTCACATCACGTCATGCCACGTCCAATAAAATGTTACCAAGACCGTTCACGTACCATCACTCACCATCATTTCCTTTCACGTTCCATATGACGTCACATCACGTCATGCCACTTCCAATCAAATGTTACCAAGACCGTTCACGTACCATCACTCCCCATCATTTCCTTTCACGTTCCATATGACGTCACATCACGTCATGCCACGTCCAATCAAATATTACCAAGACCGTTCACGTTACATCACTCCCCATCATTTCCTTTCACGTTCCATGACGTCAAATCACGTCATGCCACTTCCAATCAAATGTTACCAAGGCCGTTCACGTTCCATCACTCCCCATCATTTTCTTTCACGTTCCATCACATCACATCACGTCATGCCACGTCCAATCAAATGTTACCAAGACCGTTCACGTTACATCACTCCCCATCATTTCATTTCACGTTCCATGACGTCAAATCACGTCATCCCACTTCCAATCAAATGTTACCAAGACCGTTCACGTTCCATCACTCCCCATCATTTCCTTTCACATTCCATGACGTCAAATCACGTCATGCCACGTCCAATCAAATGTTACCAAGACCGTTCACGTACCATCACTCCCCATCATTTCCTTTCACGTTCCATGACGTCAAATCACGTCATGCCACGTCCAATCAAATGTTACCAAGACCGTTCACGTTCCATCACTTCCCATCATTTCCTTTCACATTCCATCACATCACATCATGTCTTTTCACGTACAGTCACATCTTACCAAGTCCAATCACGTCCAAAACGTCCCACCACGTGTCTTATCACGTCCAATTACGTAATATCACTTCGCAAATGACCACGTAACTAAAGAGTTGTGGCATAAAATCGAGAAATTAAAACACATTAACAAATTAAATAGCCAAAGAAATATGGGGGATAAAAGATGAGCCTTGAAATGCATCAAGATCGATGAACGTACAAGAAACCGATGTCGCAACAAAACCCTTTTCAGTAGTACTCGTTTTGTCCGTTATAATTAAAAACGATCTAAAGATCGTGGTTTCTTGGAAATTTCCCATCTTATTCAACATCTGCTTCAAGATTTGTTTAGGGGTAAAAGTTGCCCACCGTAGTCTAAGTCTCTTTTTATTCAAGAACGATGTCGCAGCATGACTATTTTCGGTAATATTCATTCTGATTTTCGCTAATAAGTGCCGCCATGAGTACGTCGACATCTTTATGTCATGATTTACATTCCATTAACTCACTTTTCTTCGTTAGGGTGGTTAATTGTTTCCATTTTCCCTTGTTATGGACGAAGGACTTCTGATGTTGGGGCCCAGACTAATCTAACTCCAGATCAGGTAGATGCTTTGATATCCGCACTGACTGATAAGTTAAGCGGACTGGAGTATACTACGGCTGCAGTAGAACAAGATATAGCCTTAGTTATAGCGAAGTTCCACGGTCTCCTTACGAAATATGGATACCAACCGCTTCAGCCGCAGCATATCTACGATCGTCAAAGACAAGCTACATCACTGTAAGTTGGTACTTCCCTCTCTGATTCGTGACCTGACATTTGCTTCCGCCACGATAGCTTTATTTCGTCAAATGCTTAGATGATTGACAACAACTGATATAGAGTGAACACTCGAACGGTGTCAAAACCCCCACAAGAACCCATTACTATGAGCCTTTGAAAAAAGCCACCTGATGTATAACCTTTTTTTAAAATGTTTGTTCAAAATCGGGTTTAATAATTAAGAAAGTTATTCCGACGTTTAACTTATACTTTTGCGATTTTAGACCCGGAGTCTGGTTTAACCAAATCATTTGAATATGGACCATTGAGTCTATGGTACTGGCAAAGTAAAATTCAGGCTTATAATTATGTTTCCTTTCGTATTTCCCTACAGAATTTTGTTAGGTTATGAAATACAACACGTTGAAGATAATGCGTTCACCGCATTTACAAGCCTTCGTACACTGTAAGTTCTTGATATTATTCTCTTAAAGGCATCGTTTAACAATGTTAATGCACGACCCTACGTGTTATCAGTGTTTGTGATATGGTGTAATATTGAAGCCCTAACAAAACTGCGCTTCAAAATGATCAAGAAGTGCCTCAAACAAAAAATCTTTGAGTGACCGGTTTTTACCATACTCCTTTTCTCCAATAGACTGTAGTGTTATAAACACCGTTAGGAAAACGCAAAATTTGACTTCGATTTCCAATCATAAATATCTTGATAACCAGACTGGCGATCGGCTTGTAAAAGCCATGGGGTTCCTGACTGACCTAAAGGTTTATAATTATCATTGCAGCATGAGCTAAAGTCAGGATTTGGTTCAGAATCTGAGACAAAGTTACACAATACCTTTAATAATCGGTTGCATTCTTCGCCTTTTTTCATTGTCGCTCGTTTGCCTCTCCTGTTATTTTGCACAATAGACCCCAATTGAAAAAAATCCCAAGCAAAACAATGACTTGGCAAACAACTTTTTTTAACAGCAGCATCTTGCACAGGAAACCGCTAAATTATACCTATTGCATGATAAACGCAGTACGGGAAGATCTTTTGTGTGGCATAGAGTTAAACTAAACAAATACTTCCACCTCTATTATAGACATTGTTCAATCGATACCATTGTGCTTTTGATGTAATTAATCGTTTTCTGTCAGGATGATATCTCCTTAATTCAGGAAATTGAAAACAATTCGAAAGTTATTATTTCCAAAAGTCGAAGCATTGACAGTTTAAAACTGCAAAAGTTGTCTCATTCATGTGTATGCTATGTGTTTATCATTGTCTTCATTTGAAAGAGAGTGAAAGAGAGAGAGAGAGAGAGAGAGAGAGGGGGGTGGGGGTGTTCTAATTTAAATTTCATGTTATATTTATTGCTTTCATAGAGTCTTGGGGTCGAACAATCTACGAAAGATCAGGAAAGCGGCTTTCACTGGATTACGACAATTGCAGTATCTGTAAGTCTTCTTTGTGTGTAATATGTTACATCCACCATAGACACGCACCTCCACCATAGACACGCACCTCCACCATACACACGCACCTTCACGACATTATCCACACACAAGGCTACCCCCTACCTTCCTAAATACACCGTCACTATCAAACAATCTTATGTTTTGGCTGTCACTCATAAAATCTACCCGCACGCACAATTTAGATGAAATTCCCGGTGTATATAATGCGTAAAATTGATTCTGAATAACACAAAGATTGTCTACAAATTCGAGCAAGAATTTAAATAATCATCAATATTTATTATTTACTGTCTGTTACTTTTGATAAGATATATATTGTGTTTGATATTCAATTGATCAGACGCTGATCACAGAATGAAACTGAGAATCTAGCAATGGATCTTAAAGGCCCACTGCACTACTTGTAGCTACTTGCGCCCTCTATATAACAAACAATGCCTAATCGTGTGTGTGTGTTTTTTTTTTTTTGGGGGGGGGGGGAGTTATTTTTTTCAATTTCTTCAATAAATGTCGAAATATGGTTGACATGAATTGCATGAAGTGCACTCCCATTTTATCACTTGATATGTGTAACTTTTTTTTTATTTCTCTCGGCAGAAATTTTCGAGATAACAAGATATCCTCCATTGAAAATGACACATTCACAGATATGACGAATCTGTTTTTCTTGTAAGTATAGTATGCGACCAGAATGGCATGCAATATCCGTTGTAATGCCAGAGTCATCCTCTTTCTGGTACTATTTTGAGTTTTTACATTTCATTTCGAGATTTCAAACAACTTATTCAAAAATCGAAAACCTCTAGAATGATCTGCAGTCGGAATGAATGAAACGTGGATTTTTTTTCAGCCCGAGGCGTGCAAAACCTTAACAGTTTTTAGATATCACAGGATTTCCTTACTCAAGTTACAATAATAATTACAAACTATAAATCTGTCTGTTATTATCTGCATGTTTTCCCCATTCTCTTTAAGATTTTTTTTTTATTTTCGCATCAGGGAACTCAATGAAAACTCCTTTGTCCATCTACAGCCTGGTGTATTTTCTGGTTTGATAAATCTGCGAGACTTGTAAGTATTGAATAGAACATTTTGTTCAGATCTAAAACCGTACTGTACTAGATGCACTACAGCAAAATCCCCTCAAGCACTATCGTAGGTCAGCTGTTGCAGTATGGTCCCGTGACTCGCTGCTTCATCATGCCTAGGGCACATTTACCGCTGCGGCCGTGCGGTCTAAACTATCTCCGGCCAATAGCAATTATAGGGACGCCGCAGCATCCCCACGGTCATATACGGTAGCGGTCACACATGTTAGGGTAGCGCACGGCGTATTTCGAATTTGTGGAGACAGAAAACCTGCGGGTGCAGTACGGCCTTTGAAGCGATGACGCACTATCGGCTTAAAGGGCTTTCACATATACACTCCGCGACCCGTACGGCGAGTAAAAACAGACATTTTAGGAATTGTCGGCCGGTGTCTGACCGGCTACCGTAAAGTTCCTACGGGCGCCGGGACAGTTTTTTAAGCCATACGGGCGCCGTGGTGCTTAGTTTTTATCTGACCGTTAGGCCGTAGAAAGCCCGTAAAGGGCCCGTATGGCACTTTACGGGTTCCGTGCGGACTCCGGACGGTTCCCGATCGGGCCCCTTACGATTTTCTTGGGTAAATTCTCATGAAAAATCTTTACGGGCGCCTTGCGGTGCTCAAGGATGCCATACGTGTACTCAACGGCTCCCTCACGGACCCCTCAAGAGCCCCGGGTGATATGCACAACATCGGGCGTCTGCCGTCCGGGGGCCATTTGAAATGAATATTGCCCGTGCGGGCCCCTCGCGGCGGCATCTCAAAATGTACAACGCAGCTTTAAGTATAGGAGGACATATATGTCAATGCACCGCACGGCACCCGCCCGGGCGCCTTGAGGACACCGGTGGGGTACCTTCCGAGAGCCATGGGTGCACTTGCTCATCGGACGGAGCCCGTAAGCTTACCGGCCGGAACCCTATATACGGGCGCCGAGCATTGTTACTAAATCAATTTTCACCGGGCACCTCCCGGGAGTCGCAGAATTGTGACCGCACATGCCGTAGAAATGAAAATCGGAAGGGTCCCGTACGGTCTCTAAAATTCACGGCAAGCCGCCGGGTACGGAAAATCGTACGGGGCCAGTGTATATGTGACCTAGGCATAAGGATGCGGCCGCCGCAATTTTTTGGGGTTATGCAAAAATCAATTTATATTCCGAGACCGTTAAGACCCTAGGGCAGCCGCGTTGCAAACGCAAGGCCACCGTACGCCCACGTATGGTCGCCGTTGAATCGCTCTCCGGTATGGCTACAGCGTGTCTAATTGCTACGGCGAACTTAGAAATAAAAAGTGTTTTTACGATAACCTTAAATGGTTGAAAATCCTTGAAGAAGTGCTCCGGGAAATGATTTCCTATGTCAGGGATAATTTCAATTTCCATATCAATTTCATATTTATTGCCAAATGAAAATTGGAATTTACAATTTTATAAAAATAGCAAACGTAGATTATTGTAACTGATTCTTCCGATCATTTTCATAACATGCTTTAATACAGGCCTATATATTATTCATGGATTTAGATATGCTTATCTCCGTCTTCTATGATTAATTGCAGTGTCAGTAACTACTTATACGGTCGCCAAGACGTTTAGGAAATCAACTAAGGACCTTCCCAATTTCATATGCATTACCTTTATAAATCGTATTCCCATTATGAAATACGTCATTGTAATGTTTGAACAGGTGTCACAATAGGCTATTGAAAGTGATTTATTTTTCGAAACTTTTCGCGATTTTGTTTTCTCTGATATCATTATCCCGATCAGGGCTCTTATAGACAACAAGATTAGAGGTGTTAAGGTTGGAGTCTTTGATGGCCTGCAGAATTTACAATTTTTGTGAGTAAAATTCCTTTTTGCTTCTTTACATGTTTACCAAATGCAATTAATTACATGGTTCCTTTGACCCCCATGTAAAAGATCTGTTTATCAATTTAATGCATACTTTGAAAAACAACAGTTTCTCTTGACAACTAGAGAAAAGCTTGCCAGAGGCCTACCTGACACAGCAACCACTAATATATGCAAAGATGATTCCATCTTTGAGATACATTTTGCAGGTTTATTTGATATGATTAAATCACAGAAACATACTATTTTAATATCCAAAGGACATGGATTTCCAGCAGGAGACCTTAATATGGATTTTATAAATAAGATTAATTTCAATACAACTTCCGTAATCAGATGATGCGTTGGAGCCAGATTTTTTAAATAATCGTCAAATGTTGTCAAGTAATGAGCTTCTAAACTGCTCCCATCTATTAATTATGTTTCAATATTGTGACTTTGCTTGAAGTTGAAGTGACTCTAAATTGTGATGTTATAAGGAATTCATCTTGACTTACAGTCCGTTTATTCTACTCTTACTATACTGTCTCCTGCTTAACATGTTTACGACCAACTAACTTTAAATCAAATATTATACCTTAAAGGCACACTGTCCTACTTATAGCTACTTGCTCCCTCTATATAGAAAACTTCCCAAATCGATGCCTGTTGGTCCCCCATGATCCTCTTTTTATTATGTTAAATGAGAGCTGAGTTAATGAGATATAGCCACCTGTCACAGTGACCTCGCTGGCTCGCTGTGTGGTCTAATCCCTTCTGGCTGAAGTAGTAACGCCTGTCTTTAAGCCCCTTTCACACCGGGCCAGGCGTAGTGTTGCGTACCGACTACGCCGAGCTTACGCTGCCCTACGTAACTATACGCTGAGGGACGCAAAGGGGTACGCGAGATGGACGCCATAAATTTAACATGTTTATTTTTTTGGCGTAGACACTAGACACAGAAAGGACGCATGTAGTACGCAAGTGTACGCAACACTACACTAAAGTACGCCAAGTCTACGCAAAAGTACGCCACCCTACGCCGGTCCGACGAAGCAGTAAAAGCTTGAGCACACATTACTTACTATACTTGGGTATACTTGGGTGTAGAGACTGGAAGCTTGGCTTATTTGTCCCTCTTTACTGCTGCATCCCGTCTCACATATGGTTCAAACTTAATTGGATTGTTTCTCCAATACCTTTCTAGGGATGACTTGAATTGGTTAATGGTGGTAGAATTGACTACTTCCTTAGGCAGAGCATTCCAATTATTTACACTCCTTATTGAGAAACTATATTGCCTAAGTCTTGTGTTGAAACGTTGTTTGACAATCTTGAAATCATGGCCTCTTGTTGTTGAGCCAGTTGCTAGTTGGAAGAATTTTGAAGGATTCACTCTGTCAAAGCCTCTCAGGATTTTGAATATCTGTATCTGATCTGCTCTTTGTCTTCTGTAAGCCAAAGTAGGAAGTTGTAGTTCTCTAAGTCTGTCTGGGTATGCTTTTTGTCTCAGCTCAGGAAGAAGTCTGGTGGCCCTCTGCTGGACTTTTTCTAGTATGTCTTCATCTCTCTTGAGTATTGGGCACCATACAGAGTTGCAGTATTCTAGTGTTGGTCGAATAATAGTTTTGTAGAGACTAAGGAACCCCTTCTTTTGCAAGGCTGAAAACGACCTTCTTATCATTCCTAACTTAATGTTGGCTCTCTTGGCAGCATCTGCTGCGTGGGTGCTGAAGGACAGGTCCTGTTGAAACAGCACTCCCAAATCTCTTTCCTCATTACCAGATGGAACTGAAAATATATTTGTACCAGCAGCCAGTGTGTATTCAAAACCTTGGTTCTTTCTTCCATAATGAAGTACTTTGCATTTACTTTCATTAAAGGGCAATTGCCATACATTGGACCAGTTTGTTACGGTGTTGACATCCATCTGTAGCAAATCTGAGTCAGCTTTAGAGTCCACTGTCCTGTATAACTTAGTGTCATCGGCAAAAAGCTTCATGTGGGAGTCAACAGTTGATGGCAGGTCATTGATGAAGACATTGAACAATGTTGGTCCGAGCACACTTCCCTGCGGAATACCGCTTGTCACAGGAATAGATCTTGACTCTTTCCCATTTACTGCAACTTTTTGAGTCCTGTCTGAGAGGTAGTCTTTAATCCAGGCAAGTAAGGGACCTCCTATTCCGTAAGACTGAAGTTTACATATGAGCCGTTGATGTGGCACGCTGTCAAATGCTTTACGATAATCCAGATAGACGCAGTCTACATTATGACCCTGGTCAATGACATCTGTCCACTCCTCGCAAACTTCTAATAGCTGAGTCGAACAAGATCTTCCAGCCCGAAATCCATGTTGTTCATCACACATTCTGTTCTAGATGATGTATGACATGCTTTCTTACTAGTTTCTCCATAGACTTGCATATAATGGATGTCAGACTCACAGGTCGGTAATTGGCTGGGTCATTCTTCTTGCCCTTCTTGAAGATTGGAACCACTGTTGCTTGTTTCCATACTGATGGATTTTTCCCTTCGTTCATTAGCTTAGTGAATATTGTTTGCAGTGGTTCGACAATCTCAGTATGTGTTTCTTTCAGCACACGCGAATGAATACCATCAGGACCTGGAGATTTGTTGATGTCTAGATGCATTAACAGGCCATCGATATCTTCGGGTGTAAATTCAATGATAGTGAGAAGATTACTGCATTTCTTGTCAAGTATTGGAACTGTATGAATATCCTCCACTGAAAAACGCTACCAAAGTACTCATTAAGGGTCTCAGCTTTCTCTTGGTCCTCTTTAGCCCATGTTCCATCAGGTTTTTGTAGATCAGGCAATGATGGTTTTGATTTTGTCTGATTCTTTACATAATTCCAGAAGCTTTTGGCATTTAACTTAATTTCAGCTGCTAGTTTGTTTTCGAAGTCAGATTTTGATTTTCTGATCACAGAGGTGGTTATGTCCCTTATTTTGGTGTACTCCTTCCAGTTCAAATCCACATCAGGATGTTGTTTTCTTTTACTCTTTCGATATTTATTCCAAGCTTTCCTTTTTCTTCGAACTGCTTCAAGAGCTTCACTGTTCATCCACTCTGGTCTATTCCGTTTTCTCTTTTTCTTCAGTGGGACGCAGTCTTCTATGGTTTTATGGAGAATCTCCTCAAATATATTCCAGGCTTGTATTCCAGAAGTATTTTCAAACTTAGAATTCCAATCAATGTCTTTCAGTTGGTACCTCATTTTATCATAATCTGCATGATAGTAGCTTCTCGTAGGTAACTCCTCCTCTGCCTGTATCTTGCCGACATCCATCTCGAAGGTAATGGTCACGTGATCACTTTTGCCAATGGGTGGCCCAATAGTTACATCATTGACTGTATCTTCATGAGTGGTTAAGATCAAGTCAAGCAAGCTAGGTCTTTGGCCTGTCCTTTGTCTGGTAGGTTCCTTTACATGTTGATGCAGGAAAAGATCATTCACAGTGTCAATAAATAATTGTTCATCATTGATACTGACTCCACAAGTGGTGTTCGCCTGCCAGTTGATTCCTCTATAATTGAAGTCCCCTACCACTATCAAGTCAGAGTAGTTCATTGTACATGCTGTGCGTAAGAGACAGTTCAAATCCATATTGTTCTCAGAGTTGCTTGAGGGACTTCTATAGACACAGCCAAAGAGAAGATCAGTGCCATTGGAAGACAGTCGTATCCATACAGATTCTTCAAATTGACCTTCATCTATGTCTACCAAGCTACCAGAAATCCCTTCTTTCAAGTAAACTACTACTCCTCTCTGTCTGTCTTTAAGTTTTGGTGGTAAGAACATATGGTATCCTTGTAACTGCAATTCAGTAGGCTGGATCGCATAATCCTGGTTGATCCTTTTAGGGTAGATCTCAGTCAGAGCTATTACGTCTGGTTTGACAAGTGAAATGGTTGTATAGAGCTCTTCCTTCTTGTTGGTTAGAGTATCACAATTTGTGTAGAAAAACTTAATTGATGACTCAGTTCGCAGAATACAGTCGGGATGATTGGTTAGATCATTTACCTTCTCCTGCTCAGTAACCTTTGAAGATGGTGGATCAATCCCTGGTGCAGTATACTCAAAGTTTAGATTTGCTCTATGTGCTGTGCTCTGTGTTCCACTATGTACATCGTGATCACAATACTGTGCAGTGCTGGTGAGTGTGTTTAAAAATCCATCTCCTAATGGACTAGTGGTCGTCGACTCCTCCATCGCGACGAAAAGTCCGCTTTATTACCTTTCCGCCCCGTATTACAAGGTTCTCTTCGCCTCTTTCAATTCTCTCCTTCAGAACATTTCTTAGTCTCTTGTGTTCCTCTCTCTCGGCCTTTGTGCAATCTCTGGCGATCTGTACTGTTCCTGACTTGAGGGACCTAGCTCCCCTAAAAACTTCCTCTGTAGCAGCTCCATTATCCATAACAACTTTCAATGGTCTAGCTAAATCAGACTTTTTACCAAGGCGGTACAGAGATCTTATATGACTGACATCTGTTTTCAGTTTGAGGTCATGGTGAAAGATAGAGTTTATCTGGTCACGATCTTCCTTTTTTCTAACTTCGGTATCCGTTCGGTATTAAGCAACCGTACGCAACAGTAAGCAAACCTGTGCGCCAGGCCTACGTAAACATACGCAACCCTACGCTTGTTACACGGAATCGTACGCGTAAGTACGCGAATTGCATACGCCGTAGGTACGCGGTGCCTATTCGCAAGGTACGTAAAATATGCCATCGTACGCCAGCCTACGCAATACCTACGCAGGGACCACGTCGAAACAACATTTTTTCAGGAATACGCATCCTAATTTCGGCGTAGTCGGTACGCCACACTACGCAACTCTACGCAGATCCGGTCTGAAAGGGGCTTAAGTAACGAAGGCAAGACCCACACCAGACTGACTACAGACAGAACTATACTATTACATTACCGCCGATGGCGAAATAATTGGTTGGTCCGGAGCGTTGGGGTGTCGGTTTCGTTTCGGGGTAGAGTCGGTTTGGCGGTTTGAATTAGATCCTAGACTTCTCGATGAACCCCACAAAAAATTTACGCCTCATCACATATTATTAGTCCTAGATATAAATTGATGACGTTTCAATAGTTTTTTTATTGTTTTGTTATCATTATAATCAGGCATCTTCAATCAAACAACATCAGCTGGATTCAAGTGGGAGCATTTTCACAACTGGAGAACCTTCGAATATTGTAAATTACAATCCATTAGAACATTCTAAATTTTTGACATCCTATTGTTTCTTTTATATATGCATGTTAAAACTGATTAAGAGAGAAATGTTATGATATTCACAACTCTAAGTACATCAAGACGAACAAATGAGAGGTAGAAAATCATTAAGATACCATCATGGGACGTAAATTTATCAAAGGTAACCGTCTCCACACGTTTTAACCATAGGATGAGTGTGTTTATATGCTACAGTCCACACACAAGTTATATCAAAGTTCTCAGCCAGCCGCTGAATAAGCGGGGGGGGGGGGGGGGGGGGGGGGGGGGGGGGGGGGGGGGGGGGGGGGGGGGGGGGGGGGGGGGGGGGGGGGGGGGGGGGGGGGGGGACATTTTGCTCCGTTGGGGGGGGGGGGGGGTAAGGTCACCATTTTTTTAGGTCAGCCATGGTAATAATTTTTTTTTTTAGTTAGTTATTAAAAAAAAACAAAGGGGGGTTAGGGTTTTTTATGGGGGTTTACACACATAAAAATACCAAGGGGGTTTAACCCCCAAACACCCCCCCTCCCCCTGGGCGTACGCGCCTGGTCCTAGCAAGGGGGGGGGGGATATAATATTATGAGCTATCTAGCAATCCTTGCAGATAGTCACACTTTAATTCGTCCATAGATAGATACGAAATGATCTCTTACATATAATTGTTTTGATACAAGGAAAAAAAAAACGTCACAAATATCTTTTCACATATTATGCTATGGTCAATACGGCTAAAGTCTAGACATTGTTATGAGCTTAATAATTACAATTTTTTTCTGATACTGAACCGAGTTACTAATGTTTCACATTCTTCATTTTTATACCGCATTACGCCTTAACAAACCATCTACTTGTGTTTTTTCAGGATTTGTCATCGAATTCCATTCAGCATTTAGAGAGTGGGGTATTCTCTGGACTCCGGTCTCTTCAGTATCTGTAAGTGCAACACAATTTGGGGGCAAGTCCAAGCTATTACCCCCCCCCCCCCCCCTCCCCACCCCCCCCCCCCCCCCCCCCCCCCCACGTCACAAACCATATCTAAGATTTTAATGTATAACTAATGATTGTATTAATCTAATAGCAATACTAGAACTTTTCTGACCAAATATGAAATGAAAAGGCAAATTTGATGTCAATATGATGATGATAACTCTAAAATATTGCGTAGCGTACGGGCCACTAAAGTACCAAATAATTAAATTGGACTTACCTTTTAACTATATTTAATCACTCACAAAACAGGAAACTTGTGACAGTAGTATTTACATACAGCGTGGATCAGCAACGTAGGACCTTGACGAAACAATCTGGGTCCTATCTTATAAAACTTTTAATCAATAAAAAGTTACAATAGTTGTTATAAATAGAACTAAAAGTGTTGCATCTGATTGGCTAAGAGAAAATTATTTGTTATAGAAATTAAGCATTTGTTATCGGTAACAAGCTACCTGAGTTAGGGCCCTGAGCCTTCCTCAAGTAATACAGATTCAAATAGACCATTTTTGTTGTTTTATCGTCTGGCTGAAATGGCCAAAAACATGACAAATAACCAATAACCACGGGCCTAAACGGTGACCATTGGTCCCCATGGTCCCCTTTTTCTTATGTTAATTGAGAGCTGATTTGATGAGATAAACCAATTTTAAGTGATCATGCAGGGAGGTCTTATCCCTCCTGGCCAAACTAGTGCAGCGGGGCTTTAAGATATCCACTCCCTAAGGTGTTCCATTTTCCTTCCTTTTCTACAGGGATTTGATAAACAACAATATCCATGGTATCCAAGAATTTACGTTTGATTCTCTCGCATCTCTCCAATTTCTGTAAGTAATTTCCATATCATTTACTTTGCTCGATGTTAACATGCGTAGACAAGCGATTTTTAGCAATATTTGCCCCCTGATCTGTACCCAGGTGTATGAAACGGGCAACTGACAGTATTGGGGAAAGTACTAAATTACGACCCATCGAGAGGAGCAGCATTAATACTGACGGCAACCAAATAGGATCTACAGCCACATAACAGTGAGATGTGTCGTGGTATAGATGCTCATTCACTTGACTCGCCGCAATCCAGTGATTGAGGGTGCAATATCAGCCCACAATATTATTGGTGAGACATTAGTGAGACATATTTTGTCACACTCCATCCATGTGTAAATGGGTACCTAGCAATCGCTGGGGTTATAATGATTGCAGGCCTTCAGGGCAGACAGTATTGTTACTGGTGATTCTACCATGGGTAAACAAAATTTTCTTAGGAGCAGGGAGTTGTGATATAGTAGTAGTCAGGCGCGTACGCAGGGGGGGGGGGTTTGGGGGTTAAACCCCCCCCCCTTTGGAATTTTGGTGTGTAAACCCCCCTAAAAAAAACTAAAAAACCCCCCCCCCCCCCCCCCCCCCCACCTTTGGGATTTTTTTTTTTTTTTTTTTTTTTTTAATATTAAAAAAAAAAAAAAAAAAAAAACCGACCTAAAAAGGTAAAAAGACCTTACCCCCCCAACGGAGCAAAATGTCAAATTTCCAAATTTCGAGACCAAAAAAAAAAAAAAAGTGTTCCTCTTGCCCCCCCCCCCCCCCCCCCCCCCCCCCCCCCCCCCCCGCTTATTCAGCGGCTGGCTGAGTCGTTGCGAAATTTTCGGACCGATTTATAAATGTTAAAACCCCCCCTTGAAAAAATCCTGCGTACGCGCCTGGTAGTAGTAGTAGTAGTAGTAGTAGTATATAAATCGTGCCCTAATACAAGTTCTTGTTTTACTCTCTCTTGAAATAGGTTCTTCCTTGATTCTGAATTGGGAGCTATTGATCGTAATGCACTTGCTGGTCTCACATCAGTAGAGAAAATGTAAGGAAACTTCTTCGTTTCAGTTCTTATTGTTGTTATTTTCTTTCTTTGTCCTTCTTATCTAGAGTTGATTATTACCACCCCATGGCATTTGCATCTGGTAAAACGAAATGCACTAAGTCTACATATACAGATAAAAAGAAATGGTTCTAACTATTCTTGCTATCCTTGCTGTGAATGGTCTTTGTAGCGAGGTATTTTACCATTGATGTGAATTAGGCATCAAATATTATGTCTCTGAAACGCTAAGCAAAAGCAACGTAGGACCCCGCGTAGGATTTAAATCATTATATTTCATTTTCAATCACATCAGAAATGAATAAGGTACTTTGCGTTAGAAGTCTGCATCAAGTAATCAAAACTAACTCAGGTGCGGTTTTAGAATATGAAAAAATGGGGGGGGGGGGATGCGGTTCATCCATTCTTTTTCTACAAGTGCTTCGCTTAAATCCATTAATAATAGGTATAGCACACCAAACATAAGTACAACAAACACATGTTATTTGATGGTTGCAAATGATCAAGCTTTATGAAAGCTTCAAAAAACAAAAAACTAAATTGAAATCGGTCAATGCGTTGTGATTTTATACCATTTTTTTGATATCGCAATATTACCGAAAAACCTGCCAGAAATGGTCAAATTGGTAAAAATGGCAAAATTCGACAGAGTTGACAACTTTATTCATCACTTTCTTGGACACAAATAATAAATTAAATTATCAGACACCAAAATATCATCTTTGTGGTAAAAAATACAAAAAAAGAAAATTCATATATCTATTACCGTTTTGAAAACAAAAGCCAACAAAATAAGTAATTTTTGCCATTTTTGCGAATCTGCAGATAAAAAAATTGTGAAAATAACTAAGTCCGCCTCATTAATATGCACATATGTAATCAAATCAAAACCAAACATGATACATCAGTGAAACCTATGTAAATCAGAAAGGTGAATATTCATCAAATATGCAAATTAGGTCATTTCAGCTAATTATATATTCGCGCACTCATTATGCAAATTAGGGAAGTCAAACTGTTCATTTTTGGGGCATTTTTAAAATCATATATTAATAGATCATATTTACTCCAAATATTAACCTTAAATTCCAAATATTTTTGCAATGCCAATAAAATATGGCGATGGAAATTACTTGGATCACCGTCACAGCTATTTCCTCATGTGTTTCACAAATTATTAAGAAAAACCGATCATATGATAACAATTTGTAGACTTTCAGCTACATCACAGTATATGTTTTTTTTTTTTAAATGTCAGATTTGAGGATTAATGACGGTTTTACGAGAAACCAATCAACAGGCCATAACATTCCACAGGGACTAAATTTCAAAGAAAAAAACAAATTTAGTGACACCAGTACAGTTGTGGCTACCTTGAGTGTAAACAAAAATTTGATTTAATGAGTGAAACACATGAGGATATTGCATTTTCTGTAGGGGAGTTTTATACATTGAGGTGCATTTTCACCACGCAGAATAACAATGGGCGATCAGCGGGCCATGTCATACATGGCTGAAAAGACAATTCTAATTAAATAATTTAACATATTTCCCACATGCCTATAACAATGAAACTACACAGAATTGCAGTTAAAGAAATTCTTGAAGTATATGTGAAATAAAAATTAAAAAATATTGTTCATTTTTTAAAAATAAATTTACACAAATTGCTATTTCTACCAACTGACTGCTGTTCTGTGTGTGTGTGTTCGCGGGGCAGACTGTGTGCACAGGCAGTATGATCACCCTATTAATAATCTTCTGGGGAAGGGCTTGGGCCCCCGTGCCCCTTCTAGAACCGCTATTTAACTACCATTTTCTCTTATCATCCAGGTCTACATCTGATAATCGTCTGTGTTGTCTTCTAGAGGACAACGTGAACTTCACCTGCGCTAGGACATCACCGACGGGTCCATTGGACACCTGTAGCAGGCTCTATCCAAACTGGGCCTTGAGGATTGCAGGATGGGTTATGGGATTGTTGGCTTTGGGCGGTAACGGGGTCGTTCTGTTTATTCGGCTACGGGATAGGAAGAAGCAAACATCTAAGGTTCAGAACACCCTGATTAGTAGCTTAGCAATGGCTGATATTCTGATGGGACTGTACATGATCATCATCACTTCTGCTGATGTTTACTACGGTGATGAGTTCTATCTCAGTGCTCCTCAATGGCGGGCTTCCCACATGTGTCGATTTGCTGGTTTCATCGGGTTTCTCTCGAGTGAGGCATCGGTCTTTACCTTGATCTTGATCACTGTTGATAGGTTTATTAGCATCATGTTCCCCTTCGGGAAGCACAAGATTCAACACAAGGGGTCCTTGATTCTCATCGGGGCAGTCTGGTCATTTACCATAGTGTTAAGTCTGGGGCTGGT